TCATTTTGCAATGGGCCCAACAATTTATGAAGCCAGTGTTATAGCTATGCCTATGTCTTTCTTTCATTATTTCCCCTAAAAGATGTAGGTTATCCAGGGAGCTTTCTTCCTTGGCGTTTCTCACCCCATTCCCAAAGATGCCTCTCATACTAGTGGACAAGTGGACATAGAGACACACAGAGGGCTGAGACCTTGACATCTTCATCTTTCTATTCCAACTGCCTGGCTCAAGGCTTGATACAGAGTAGGTGCTGGATGAATGGGTGAGTGAATAAATGAATAGCAAAGTATCAACAAATACCTGTTGACTTATTTAATTGACAGAACAGTCAAACTTTTAATAGTTTCAGGTTTGTGGGGCTTCCCTGGTGGCGCAGTGGTTAAGAATCCGCCTGCCAATGCAGGGGACATGGGTTCGAGCCCAGGTCCAGGAATGTCCCACATGCTGGGGAGCAAGTAAGCCCTTGCTTGTGTCACAACTACCGAGCCTGCTCTCTAGAGCCCATGCTCCGCAACAAAAGAAGTCACCATGATGAGAAGCCAGCACACAGCAAAGAAGAGTAGCCTCTGCTCTCCGCAGCTAGACAAAGCCCGCGAGCAGCAACAAAGACCTAGTGCAGCCAAAAATAAAATAAATAAAAAGTAAATAAATTTATAAAAAAAATAATTTCAGGTTTGCAATAAAAAGTGACTAGGTGGATCAGGAGAGACTAAAGGTAAAATATTCAAAGAAAAATAATTATTGGAAAGAATAAATAGAACTGAACTAATGAAAAGTGTAAAGCAAGTAAGACTGAAATACAGTTTGAACTCCAGGTTAAGAAGTGATGGGTGGAAGGACGTATGAATAGTTAAAAGCAGTTCGATTTTTCTCAACAAGTTGTGTCCTGATGTGGATTCTTTCTTCTCAAATTCAGTTTAATACACATCAGGTTCATCTTGTCAACTGTAATTCAGGAAATAAAATTTGTTGTCCAAGTTTGGGGAAAGGAGGGTATATAGGTTGTGTGTCCAGAAAGAACCAAGAGATTATTGATTCTTCTTTGACTATCCCAAGAGTTTCTTGATCTACAGTTTTGCATTAATAAACAGAGTAGTATGAATAAAAATTTGCATGAAGAAGTGGAGTTTTTATTGTTTCCTTTGCCTCTAGGCAGAATAGACAGAGCTCAGGTTCTGGTTCCCAATTAGATTAGCTAAACACATTTTATTCTTTAAATGATGATAGTTTCTTACCCTTATATTATCTTTGGGAAACATATTTCTTACATTCAGATTTGTAAAATAAAATAAAATAACAAAAAACTAACACTCCTTTCTCTGGAGTGTTTTATGTTGTGTTTGATCACCTACCTCTCGTATTGCTTGAGAGCATGGGTTCTTTATAAATTATGTATCCCCCTCAGTGAGGTTCTCTCTTAATGGTCTATCTCCTTTACTTTGGATAATATAATACAGATTTATTCATCTTTAAAGAGGTTCCCTATAACATTGTCTAGACTTTCTTTCCTGTTGTTATATCACACTTGAATAAGTGACTTAAATTGTGCACAGATGTCCAGGTGTGGCTTTAATTTCTTTTTATATTCCAGCAAAATAACTTATTTTAACATATTCATTACTTCTATTATGGTTCTACAAATTATGCATGGTGATGTTATGAGGCTGATTCATTGAATATTAAATATGTTGGAGCAAGCAATTTTATGCTTCAGATGATTATTTATGGGAAAATTCAATTTTTGGAGGATGATAATAATGGTGGGATAGATGTGAATAATAGCACTGACATTCACAAGCAAAATAAAGAAAAAGTGGAAACAAGCATTTGGGGTAAAGATAGCTTTAAAGCAGTGAATGGGAAGAGAGGCAGGGAACATCACTAGTTAGGGACTCTCAGATTCTAAACAGGCAATGATGAGGTCTTAGGACTACACACCTGAGCTCCAATTTAGTGTGCTTATGGGGCCAGGTGAAGAATTGTAGGATTTTGTGAGATGCCCAAAAGAATTTCATAGACTATCTCTAATGGGAAAGGAGATGATCTCCTAGACTGATCTAGGAGAATATAGATTTTTAGTCCCCTAAATCTCCACTGAAATAGAATTATAGAGTTACAAAAACATATTCCTTGCCACCTAAGAATGTTCCTCATACTCAAGATTGAGCAAAGTGAACTGCTGAGGCAATCCAATGAAGGTACCCTATAAGAAGTATGGTGAAATTGTCTTTACTGCTCCCATTTTTATGACACACTTGAACAAGTGTGCTTTAAGGATTCTGCTGCTGGAATTGTATCCATCATTAGAAAAAAACTTCATCTAGAACTCTCAGTTTTGGTCCTGTGGCCTGTACTATTAGAATGCCCCAAATTTACAAACCAACGAATGGAGGAGTGGGAGAAAGAAGAATGCAGGGTAAAACTATTTTGAGCTTCATTTCACAAGCCAACCTTAGAAACAGCAATATTCAAGCATCCAAGTTCCTTCAATTATCAGGAACCATTAACTTACAAAAAATAATTGTAAAAATAAAAAGAAGAACCAGAACCTTTAGTTCAGTTTTTAAATCTGCCTAAAACCAACCAGGCAGAAGAGGAAAGCTATTTTTATTAATTTTAGAAAGATAATACAAATATATAATAGAAAATTGGTGATGAAACAACTCACTTCAAAGGAAAGCTTGAGCTGCATGTTACATGAATATTCAGACAATAGCAACCTGTTTGAAATTGCCATTGAGTATAATTCCAAATTTTTGCATTTTATCATCTCCTAGGCATAAATCCAAAGGCTAAAAGAGCAGAACACAAAAAAGCCAAGCCTGAATTATGTTCTAAACCCTGTTGAATTTAATTTTACTTACAAAGCAGAATGTTACTTTCCCACTTAAATATGCCCCTCATGGCCCTGTAAAAATACCTCGTTTCTTGTTATCAACCTCTAAATTGTGTTATTCATTTAGAAAGCTCCAGTTTTAGGAGCATCATTCTAAATTACTAGGCAAATGCTACACAATAAATACACATAATCTAAAACAAACTGTAGTGAGAAAAGAAAACAATTTTTTTTTTTTTATTCTTTTTTTTTTTTTTTTTTTTTTGTTTTTTTTTTTTTTTTGAGGTACGCAGGCCTTTCACTGTTGTGGCCTCTCCCATTGCGGAGCACAGGCTCCAGACGCGCAGGCTCAGTGGCCATGGCTC